TGACTATTCCTGCTTTCACTATGCTAAGAGAGGGATAAAATAAAATAACAAAAGCCTAGGGGATTGCCTAGGCAAAGCACTATCACCAATAGAGATTTAGAATGTATGTGTATGTGGGATAACCTAAATCCAGAGTTGTCTTGCCCTTAAATCCTGAAAGCCTGAATTTTTTGCCCTCTTTTTCTTTTTTTCTAATGCTGCTACCTTTTCACTGATCTTGAATAAGTGTTGCTACTTACTATTTATTACTTGTTGTATGGCTACCAATTCTTTCCTTGTTGTACACAAGGACCTAAACTATCATTGGCCCATTCAACTGTAACAGTAGATTGACAACAGAATTCCTCCCATCTCTAACATGCATGCAGGTCCTTCTATTAGGGACATCATGATAAATTTTTAGAAAAGGCACATTATGGAGTGTATGTAACACCCACATTTATCTTTTAGGATTATTTCTTTTGATGAATTACTAAATTTAATTTTGTGAGCTTTGTTATATTAAACGAAGTGTACTTAATAGGAAAATAAAAATCAATTAAATAAAATATTAAATTTTAATATGTAATGTGTAAAATAAACATTGTTTTCAAAATTAACTGTTTATCTGCTTATAAGATCTAAAAAATAATAAAAATAAATTATCATGTGAATTACAATGAAAATACAAACAAAACTTTGCCACAGAAATAATCTTTGCTTCATTTATTACATCTAATGCAGTCTTCACACCTGACAAGTGCATGCTCCATACACAAGTCTCATTCACACTCACAGCGAGTGTACTTAGCTTTCCTTTCTTGTTTGGTAGGCGATACTTCTCACCTTTCTTGTCTTCCTCTTTTGTCAGAAGCTTTCTATTATACAATATGTATTTAACAGGAAAATGAAATGTCAATCAAATAAAATGTCAAATATGTAACGAGTGTTTGCAATAAACAGCAACATTTTCTACATCAACTGCATTTAAAAAATAACAGAAATAGAATCCTATATGAAGTACAATAAAAATAAAAACTTTATCATAAAAATAATCTTTACTTCAATTATCATACCTAAGGCAGTTTTCACACATGAGAACAGCATGTTTCATACACAAGTATTGCTTACACTGATTATCACGTGTGTTTTATTTTTCTATTTTTTGGTAAGACATACTTGGAATCTTGCCGGTCTTATTTTCTTAGTAGGTTCTCATGATTTTTTACCTGCCTTTTCACCATATGACTCCGGAATTCTTTCATGGATTTTTTTGGGAAAGGTATACATTGTTCTTCCTCTGTTATAATTAATAATTTGTTCTTCCTCTTTTATAATAATTTGTCCAAATTCTGTGACTGTTATTTTCTTTATAAGTTATGAAACTACATATGTCTGATATGTTTAGTACCCAGTAAAATAAAACCATTGGCCAATGCTTCATGTTTCAAGTGTCATCATAGTTGCTGTATCAGAACATCTATTCTGTCTTTCATTTTACTAGAAAATATGACTATTTCTGCCTTCATATGTGTTGAGTATCCACTATCAATCTTTGTTTGTTTAGCTAGATGAGACAGAGTCATGTGACGTAGTCCAGGTTAGTCTTGAACTCACTACGTACCACCAGCTGACCTTGAACCTACAGTATTTGCATGTCTCAGCCTCCCAAGTGCTGGGATTACAGGTTTGAACTACAATGACTGGTTTCACTATCAATAATATCATCATTGTGTAAAATAGACAGAGTCACTATTATTTTGTTTTTCTTTAGCTTAATATAGTCCAGACTATCCTGGAACTCACTGTGTAGCACAGACCAACTTCCAACTCACAGGATCATCATGCCTCAACCTCACAGTGTTCTGGGATTATAGATATGCACCACACTGCCTGGATTCATGCACCACAATGCCTGGATATTAATGGTATCATCGTACTGTAATGTTGACAGTATCAATACTACTTTGATTTTCCTCACCATACAAGAGGTTGTTATATATTTCGACAATTTAAAGATAACAATATACATTTTTCTATTGTGAACTTGCAATAATTTCCAGGAATTTCTACTTTGTTCTTGCAATAGTTCCTGTGCTGAACTGTTTGTTTTTTTCTTTGTTTTTATTTCACTGTAGTTTTTTAGTTTTTGTTTTTTAGTAAACATGTTATTGATGAGTTCCTTATAAAATAATTGTGGATGTGATATTTGGGTTAATTTTTGAGCTAGGTGCAACAGGTCTGTTCACAACATCATATGGTTGCTTACTGCAAGGAGAAAGTCTTAGTGGCTGATTTCCAGGACAAATTTCTAAAATCAACGTGTAAAATATCTTTGCTTGGATCTCAGCACTGCCTTTCATGACCATTTTGTAGATGTTCTCATGAGTTTCATTAAGATTTGGAGAGGATAAAAGAAAGATAGCCATGAGAAGCTTTGTATGATACTCGAGCCATGTTTCCCAGATGTAGTTATTTTTATCTTTGCTCTTATCCTATTTTTCTATTTATTCAGCCCAAGCACACTCTGCAGAGCCAGTTTCCTCTCATTCTTCAGTTTTACATTTTCCAATAAATTTGGTCAATACTTTTTGCTCATTTTGGTCAATTCTTTGTTCAAGACAGAGACCTATGATCCAACTCTAGAAGGAAAGGCAAGTATCCTCAAAGCTGGTGTTCATTTGATGAACCACTTTTCAGAAGCAAGTTACCTGATAACACTGTGGCATATAGTCCATTACAAAAAAAATTTCTAACGTTAAATTGCAGTGTTTATCAAATAGGTTTTGCCCATGGTAAGAAACTGGTAACATTTTCTGATCTAGTTTTAAATTTGGATTGTTTAGGGGTATATGGCCCTTTTGAAGCATTTTAAGCAGTCAAGTATTTACTTATATTACTATTTTTCCCTCATCTATATCAAGGTCTTCATTTTTTACTTCTCTATCTTTCATATATCAATAACTTCTTCAGCTTACATGATGCAAGTCATCAGTGGCTGAATCACCTGGTGATTCACTTTCAATCTCCTCCCGAAGTGGTAATACCAGATTTTCATGCAGTATTGTGATGAGTGGGCTAATTCTATAAGAAAAAATTTAAAAATGTAACTAAAAACAAATAAAAATACACAAAAGTGTAACACAACACCTAATGTGGGTAAAACTCACCCATTTTCAGTTTGACTCACATGCGTACACATTGCTCAAGTGGGCAAAAACAAAGATTCTTTCTTTTAGTGCAGCTAATGAAACACACAGACAAGCACATTATGCTAAAGAACATATTTTCATTAGAAAAAATATGGTCAGAGTGTATTTTACTCACGATGATACCATTTAAGGGAAGTGTTTTCCTACCTCTTAAATCTTATTTGGTCCTTTGAGTTGATTTCATCATGAGTGTCAAAGCAGCTGTGTTGCTGTACAACTTCTGGTCCTACAACACAAAAGGCCTTATGACTTTGGACTGGAAGCTAGTTCCCAGCAGAAAAATTCTGACTACTGTAAAAAGAGGCCACGTGGAGGAAGAGAGGCCCTGGAGGACAAAAGAGAAAGAGAAACTCAGTGGACAGCTGTTCCAACCACCCCCAGCTGAGGTCCCAGATGAGAGTATCTTGAACAACTACCATCCCCCCAGCCCTGATCAAGATGTCTGAGGCAACAATGCATGTAACAGAAATGAGCCATTTCTGGTCATCCCTGCTTAACTTATGAAGCATGAGCAAATAAAGTGATTTTTTAAAAAATCAGTAAATTTTGGGCTACTTTATTTCACACAAAAAACCCAAAAAGGTTAAATGAGATAGCAGTGCCATGAGATAGCAGCACCGAGTGACTGGCAGACATAGGTGTTCAATGTATGAACATTCTCTTCCCATTCAGAAGTAGCCCTGTTTTGTCTGGCTTTATGCTTCTGAGACCAGGTTCTTTTACTCTGCATATAACAGAATTGACAGAACTGACTTCTATTCCATAAAAAATTCAAGCCAATTACTTGACCAACCAAGCCTATACAGATTAAGTGCAGCTCATTTCTATAGCTGGGTGTCCTTCCTTTGCTCAGGCTGAGGCCAGACAACTTGAGATACAGGCTTGTACTGAAACTAAAATCTCAGTTGATGGAGAAATGTCAGGTGAGATGAATAGCACTTCTTTTGACTAGTCCTCTAATCTACAGTGATTCCAGAAGCAGAGGGAAGAGAGAGAAATGAACACTTGAGGGCTTACTAAATACATGGCATTATTCATAAAAGCTTCATGAACTATTTGCTCTACCTTCCAGATGAGGACAGGAGGCAAGAGAGATTTGTGTCAGTTATTAAGCTCCCTCATAAGTACTCATTTATTTGGCAACAGGATAATAATTAGGGAGCCTTTGAGATCAATACTCATGCAAAGAAAGATAAAGAGCAGAGAAGAAAAAGGAAGCCAAGAGGGACAGGATTTGACAGAGGGACATGCTGAACTATGGTACAGTCCTAAAGGCAAGAACTACACAACCTGTAGGGAGTTCTAAAGCTTAGATGTCCCTTCAGATTTCTTCCCTATTCTATTCCTATCGAGGACCAGGCCTTTCTAGACCTGCATCAATTGATCTCAAGATACATCGTCTCCAGTTTTAGATTGAGAGTTATTTCAACTACCTCCTCCATCAAGTCATTTGCAAAGGGAGAAATCTTTGAAGAGAAAAACAAGTTGGAAAAGTATAAATAAATGTTAATTCTGGATAAGTTATTTAACTTCTAAGTCTGATTTTTTGAAAATTATAATAAAAGCACTTAGCTTTTAAGATTGTTTTAAAAATCAAATACAAGCATTTATACGAAGCATCTTGCATACAGACCTGGAGCAGAGTAGGTACTGAGTAAATGAAAGTTGTTATGATATTTGAGTAAATTACTGCAGCACGGTGATAGGCTTTCTCATTTCTAAGTTGGAATGAATAAAAGCAAAAAGCTATTCAAAATGGCATATGGTGTTTCATCTTTTATATTATCCAGTACACAGTAACACTCAGCATTACTCTAATAAACAAATGTTTATTTAAAAAGGTTTGTACAGACATAACACTTTTAATTTCAGAAAGCAGAGGAACCTTTTAAATTATGAACACATATACTGTGGCAACATAAAACTACAATTAAGTAAAGAAGGAAAAATATTTCCCTGCCCAAGCCTGGGGCCAAGAGTTGGGACAAATTTTTCAGTCAGCATGTCCCATTTCTCATCCTTTAAGTCCAATAATGACTTGACTAGGAGACCAAGCTTTAGTGGAGAAGAGATCTGCAAATCTTGGGAAGCTTGAGGGATTTTTAAACTACTGAGCACACTGATATCAGCCTGGAGTCCCTTTTAATATAAGGAAGCCCCTATACGAGAGCCCTCAATAGCAGTGTCATAGGCAATGAGCTAGGTAGTATTGATAGAGTAAGTCCAGCTCCTTAATTTCTCTGTGGAAAACTTTTACAGATTAGTAAAGATTAGAAGTATGGGGAAAAGTTCTATGGATGTCAGGATCCCCAGACACACAACCTACTACGTGAAGAACTTTAGTAAACCTGGGACACTTGAATAGGGGGAGCTATTAGAAAGGTTTGTCTAAGCTACCTCTGGGCCTTAAGGATCAAGAGATGAGGGAGATATATACACTAAGCCTGTTTGAAAGTCTAGTGAGATTGTTCTTCTTTCAGAGCCTCAGGCAAAGATATAGTGAAGGAAAACATAAGCTTTATGTTGAGACAATGTATTGGCTGTCCCCAGTCCTCAGACCCCACATCTCTTAAGCTTCAGGTCTCAAATACATGTGACAGATATGCACATGTGGGTCTTTTGCTCTTTCCTTAGCTCCAAACAAGGGGCTGAAATGTTGGTGGTAAAGAAAAGATCATCAGACATAGTTATCAGCACCTGAACTCTTCCTAAACTAGAAATGCCAAATGTAGAAATAAAGTAGAGCAAAGGGAAAGCGGAATTGTGCTTTTGTCACATTAAATAGGAGACTTGGGAAGGGTTGGGAAGGATTTTTTTCACATCAAGACATCAATCATTCTGGCCAATGGGGCAGAACAGAAGAGTTCCATGTGTTCCCCCTTTCTTCATTCATCCTGCTTCCGTTTGGGCTTCTTGGGGTTCCGGGACCGACTTTTGGCTTTGCACAGAGGGCATATGGGTGCATTCCGGTGAATTTGCTGGTGGCATGACAAACAGGCCTGGTGGGAGCATTGGACAAAGAAAGTTAATGATCAGATTTTTGTAGGTCATGGCTTAGACTTCTGATTCTCAGGGTCCCTAAAAGCAATTGTGATATCCAATAAAGAGTGAATAGTAATCAGTAAGAGACTTAAGTAGAAATCAGTGGTCTTGGAGGCTATAGAAGATGAATGAAGTATATACATAGGTCATAGAGGGATGCTGAGGAAATGTACGCAAATCTGAGAAATAAGACAAAATGAAGATATGTCAATTCAGGATTATACTGGACCATTGTCTAACAGTACCACCCGGTATCAAATTTTCTTGGACAGAAATCAGAAAATTTTGCTCTAAACGCCAAAATAATAAATATTTTAGATATTTCATGTTACACAGTCTTTGCTGGAACTTATTTCTGACAGCATTCCTTTCTTTTCTTGAATTAATCTGTTTCTAAGTGTTTTTAGAAGCTGCTTTATAATCCTGCTTGTTCCTTCATTAATGACATATGCTAACTATATATTTGTGCAGAAATTATGTTGCTAACTTTCAGTATTATTAGACTGAATTGCCTTTTTTTGGAGGAAGTACTGGGAATTGAACTCAGGACCTCATGCTTACCAGATAGGCACTGTGCCACTGACCTAAATCCCTGGCCAGTTTCTAACTTTTTGAAAATTATACTTCAGCAGTGTCTGCCAAACTTCTTACACTCTATCTAGTCTGTAAATGTGGGACAACAAAAATGGAAGATTAAGCCCAACACCCTTTTCTCTGTGCCTCAATCAAAGCTTGTTTAAGGAGGATACCGAAGGATCAGACCCCATGGATCTTCCATGGGAGGATACTTTGCTTCTTACATAACTCTGACCTAGATTACATACCTTCATAGGTGGAGGCTGCTGCCTGAAGGTGGCTGTCTGTCGAGTGTCCTGCTTTCTAGCCACTTGGAGTTGTTGGGCAGCAGCAGCTGCAGCAGCCAAGGACTCAGGGATAGGGGGCTCCTGAGGCTCCGTCTGCCATTCTGCTTTCTGTTTCTCAAAGTAACTTTGGATATGAGAGACATTGGCTGAATCATTCTAAAAACAACAACTTTGCCCCTGCTTGAAAGATTCTATGCTAAGAACCAAGGGTTAGACTACAGTTCACTTTAGAAAGTTCCTAAACTCTGCTTACTACAAGGTACTTTTCCCTAGGTACTAGGGCCATTATCCGTTAGGAACATTAACCCTCCATTTCCTTGGCTCTGACAGATCTAAAATGATCATGAAATCTCAGGGATAGCAAGTTCCTCATGGACCATTTTGTCCTTTCCTTTATGCCATGTCATTTGTAGCATGCATATTAAAACATATCCAGGCCTATATCTTTACATATTTCTAAGACAAAGTCATAGGCATAGCCATAGGCAGTGTTCAACATTCAGGAAATACTTCCTTCTATTAGGCTGAAATCTCTGCCTTTATTGTGAGCCTAGTTCTTAACTCTAAATCACAAGATGAAGTCCAGTGCTAACTGACAGAGACTATAAAAGTTGAACATACAGTGTTTTAAAATTTTTCTGGACATCCTTTTCAGACCAGGACTTTAGAAGTGACCTCTTTAAGAGTCATGGTCAATCTTGTCAAAATCACAAAGAATTACATAAGACATTTAGTAATTTTAATTTAATCATTCTCCTTCTGGTATAAAATCCCAGGATAGAGACTTTCCCAAGGTCATGCAATGATCTATTTATTGACAGATCTAAGTGCAGGAATAGGTACCCAGAGTTTCAGGCCAGGATACATGCATGTATACATGCCTCTGTGTGTATGGGAGTGGGTAGACAGAAGTCAGGCAGCTTACTCCAAAGAGAGCTTCTCCTCCTCTTCACACAAGTCAGGAAGCCTCTGCAAGCCCAAAGTCATACGTAGAGCATCCACATGTTCCTTCAGAGGCTTATACTCCTCATGCAGTCGCCTTGTAGACTCTAGCAGCTTGTTAAGGTCATTTTCAGACTGTTTAATGGTGTTTTCCATCTGGAAAATAAAGTGGGTAGGTACAGATACAAAGATCCCAAAGTTCTTGAAGAGGTTTTATAACTGAGTGGATAACACCACAGGATCCAGATCCAGGCCAATCTATGTTAAAATCCCCAACCTGCCATATACTCTGGTCAATCATGTTTCCACATCTCTATAATGGTGAGAGTTTAATAGTATATCTAATGTTAGTGAAGAGTCGTTAGTCAAATATATACAAAACACTCAATACAGGTCCTAACAGACTAATGGTTCAATAAATGGTATACTTCAAATGCAACATCTCAGAGTTGGAATGGCCTTCAGAGTTAATTCAGTTCACCTTGCCACCATTTTACTGGTGAAAAAAACAAAACTCAGAGATTAAAGAACTTCTCTAGGAAAAATTTTCTTAGGAAAAAGACCCAGGGCTTCTGTCTCCTAGATCAATGACTTTTTTCCTAGTTCAACAGTTCTCAAAATGTAGTTGCCACATCAGAAGCATCAGCAGCATTTGAGAACTCAGAAATGTAAATTCTCAGCCAGGTATAGTGGCACATACAAGTAATCTCAGCACTTGGGAGGTTGCGGCAGGAGGACTGGTGTGAGTTCAAGACCAGCCTGGGCTACAAAGTGATCTCAAGGCTAGCCTGAGCTGCATAGCGAGAACTTGTCTAGGAAAAAAAAGAAACAAATGTAAATTCTCAGGCTCCAAAACATATATATAAAACTAGAAATTGCTTCTTAACAGCTATGTTTTCATTTTCTAATGTCTTTTTGATTTTCTTTTTCAGAATACTGTAATTTTCAGTGTAAAGGTCATTTACTTCTTTAGATTGATACATAAATATTTCATTTTCCTTGATGTTATTATGAAATGTTTTGTTTTTCTAGTTGCTCTCTCAGTGAGTTTGTTGTTTGTATACAGAAATGATATTTATTTTTGAGTTGACTTTGTATACTGCCATGCTATGGAATTTGTTTATTGATTCTAGGTGTCTTTTGGTAGATAGAGTATCATCTTATCTGTAATTATGATAATTAAGCTTCTTCCTTTCTTATTCTTATTCTTTTTCTTTCTTTCTCTTAAAATTTCTCTCACTAATATTTCCAGAACTATATTCAATAGGAGTGGTGATAGGGAGCATCCTTTTTCTTACTCATGATTTCCGAGTGAAGGCTTTCAGTTTTTAAATACTTAGTATGATATTGGCTATTGGTTTGTCACAGAGAGGAGTCTGACAATTTGTATTTTAGCATACCTTACAGGTAACTCTGATTTTCAAATCTGAGATTGATTGGCTTAGATTTTCAGCCCCTCTATGGCAAACATCTTCATTTCATTTCCTCTGTAACCTTGATTACCTGCAGCAAAACTGCCAGTTTATCATGAAACCCAGAAATCTGTGATCTCTAACACAGGAAATTCTAAGTACTTACCGTCCACATCTTTATTTTATTTTAATAGCTTAGGTCTGATAATATAAGGAAATGAGTACTGCCACAGTAATGAGTTTCCCAAGGATAGAAACTTGGCTCTTTTAACAGTGATTTTTAAAATATTACTTACATTCATGGGTTTTAAGAATTGTAAATTATTTATAGGTCAAATGTCTAACATCATTCCTTGTGAATGAATCATCAGCATAGCCTTCTGCTTTAATAGCTCTAAAAGAAGGAAGCTTATCAATTGAGCAATCAATTAATTTCCCATGTTTCAAGAGTTTCCAAAAAAGAGATTCTAATGAATAATAAGCACAGATGATTCGTTCAGTCTGGTTGGAAGCTTTGGAGCAGCACCTTTAACTGTGCCTGAGAGGCAGGTTTCTTGGTCATTTTTCCCCAAAGCTATTAACTTACTTCACAGACTCTGAGAATAAGAGAACATCACAGCCAAGTCCTTGGAAGTTACTGCATCCCATTCATAGTGATGCAAAAAACAAAACAAAACAAAACAACAACAACAAAAAAACAGGCCCAGAGTTTAGGGACTTGTTTGGTGATATACAGTCAATCAGTGACAAAGCCAAGGATGAAAAAGATTCCTTCAGTATGCTGATGATTGCTCCACAAAGATACCCACAGGTACATCTCAAGGAAAGGCCACAGCACTCACCACAGCCTTTTTCTTAAGGGGCCCACAAGTTTCAGGCAGACAGGCAGGCAGCCACATACCACATTGATGTCAGCGTGGATAAGTCGGAGTTCCTCCACATGGGCCATCTTCTCCTGTAACAGGAGGTCCATCTCCTGCTTGTATTCTTTCAGGTGCCGTTCCTCTGACTCAAGTGCCTCAAATTCAGCCTTCAGTCGAGCCTTGATCTTCTCCATCTGCAGAGTTTTGTTCCTGTAATTCCCCAAAAGCAGTAAACAGACCAGCAGAAGAGAGAAGGAAAATGGAAATGGAGAACAGAATTAGTCCCTGATTGAGGACTTGTTTTCTAACTCATATTTCTAACATTACTCCCTCCAGACAAACCCAACTAAAAGCTACCACATAGAAATGTTAGATGTTTTCTTTTATGAGAGAACCTCAGTGGATATCAAATTGAATTGATTTTGTTCCCTTACTTGCAAATATGAGACTAACTTTAGGTATGATATTGATTCAAGGAAGCATATTCAGTGGACATGGGCCAGAGATGCTAATAGCCTCTCAGTGAACAGAAAAATCCCAGTCAGTAAAGAAATTCTATCTAAGATGTGAACAGTAAATTCTTCAGGAAGTCTGGAGAAATGCTGTCCAATACATTTGCCGCAGTGATGTTTTGTGTTTCTAACACAGTAACCCCAAAATATAGAGCACTTAAAACATAGTTCATAGTGTTCAAGTTCATAGTGGAGGAACTAAATTTCGAATTCAATTTTGATAAACCGAATTATACATTTAAATATCACATGCAGCTATTTCCTGTCATACTATACAGCACAGCTAGAGTCTCCATTCATCAGTTCCAGAAGAGAAGTGAGAAAGGAATTGTTGGGGATAATTCCTTTATTTAATTAATATTCATAGTTATTAAGTTTCAACTATAGACACTCTGGTTTAGGAAGTTTATTCTAAGGAAATAATCAAATAACAAACAGTTATAACCCAGAGATGTGTTTTCTGAGCTATAGGCAAAATTAGAATATTTGGCAGTCATTAGAGAGTTGCAACATGAAAACTGTTTTTCAGTGAAAAAGTATAGGTATTAAGATTGCAAATATCTACACTAAGACTGACATTTTAAATTATATATGCCTGTGACTAAATATAGGGAACTGGAAAGATTAGTTTTAAGGCCACTTATTACCATTTGAAGTCTACCTACAGAAGGGGTCTATATAGTTTTGGAAGAAGACCACTACAAAGCATATTATTGTCTTTCCAGTGGCCATCTTCCTCCTTCATTCTTAGGATCTCCCTGAGACTAGTTGGCCATTTTCACCTTGCTCATATTTGGAGTTTCCCTTTTTCTGCTTGGTAGTTAACCTCCTCTGCCCAAGCCTATTCGGTGGACTTGAGTCCCTCATCCTGTTCTTGTCACCCTTTGAATCAGCCAGTTTCAGTCTTTACTCTCTTTTTCTCACAGCACTTCTCTGAGACCTGAGAATCCTGCTTCAAAAGGTGTGTTCCTCAGTGGCACAGAACTACAGAAAGAAAGTTTCAGGTGGCTACAATTATAGGCTCTCTCTCTCTCTCTCTCTCTCTCTCTCTCTCTCTCTCTCTCTCCCTCTCTATATTCAGGAAACTGTTTTCCATGTTATTTTATTGTCTTTGCTTCAGAAACGAGTAAAAGTATGGATGTTATTCCATTTGTAGAGAAGGAAATTGAAGTTCAGAATAGTAACGTTCCCAGGTCTGCAGAGCTAATAAATTTATTGTTGAGATTTGAACCTAAAAACCACTCACATTTATATCCTGCCTTTAACTGAGTTTACCAGGCTGAAGTGCATAAACACAGCAAGTGTTCTTGGTATAGCTGCTCAACTGTCTTGCAGAGGAACAATACAGGTTTATGTTGGTCAATTATTTATTTAGATCCTCTCATATGCAGGCTTCTGCTATCCTCTTTTAGGTCACATGTAGAACAATCTGAAATTTGCTTTCCCTTCCCCAATTTTACAGTGGGAAAAATTGAGATTCAGAGTAGTACAGGGCCTCATTGTAATTCATATGAACAGATAAGGGAGTTTAGATTTTCTGAGGGCAGAGTCATATCATGAAAGAAACATACACTTTATATGTGTGTAAATCCTGGTTCTACCCTTGACCATTTATTTGCCTTTGGACAATAATAACAACTTCAATTATATTTTTAACTCTAGTTATTGAGCACTTACTTTGTACCAAATACAGAATGATAATAAATTCATTCAATAGATATTTTTGAACATGTAGCATATGCCAGGCACTGTACTAGATATTAAGAATAGAGCAGACAGGGGCTGGGGATTTTGCTCAGTGGCATCAGTGCCTGCCTTGCAAGCAGGCAGTTGTGAGTTCGATCCCCGGTATTGATAAAAAGGAAAAAGACAAAAAAAAAAAAAAAAAAAAAAAAAGAAAAGAAAAAAAAAGAACAAAGCAGACAACAGGACAGTATATGGATTAGAAGCCTCATTTAGTGAGGAAAATAGACCCTGAACACATGGTTATATATAAAAAATACGTGAGGAAAGTAGTGAAGAGATGCAGAGTACAATGTAAGGATCAAAGTGCCCTAATGTTCTGAACATTACTGTACAGTCATTGGGGTTGTTCAGAAAATGTTTCCTCTGAATGAAACATGTAAGATGAAGTCTGAAGAACAACATGAAGGAACTGGCAATTGTAAATGGACACAGAAGGATGCAGTTAAAGTAGATAGAATGGCATGAACAATGGCTCCAGATCAGAAAAATATGGCAAGTAAAATGAATTTCACAAATATCAGTACAGCTAGAAAATCTACTGCAAGGGGGAAAGAGGCCTAAATAAATTGGGAATTTGGCAACATTCAGAACATAGCAAGGTAACTGGGATGAGATGGGATGAGTTAAGAAATTCACTCTCAGTAGAAGAGGAAAATCTTAGAAAGCATTAAAAGCAGTAAAGTGGAATTACCTAGTCATTTCATCTTACTTCACTTAGTCTTGATATCTTTATCAATAACACAGGCATAATCATTACTAATTTACATATTATATCATCAGAACTAAATAAGTTAACATATGTAAAGCCCTCAAGCACACTATGTGGCACCTAGAAAGCATGTAAAAATAATGGTGCTTCTCCCTTCCAATTGTGCCCAACTGCACTGTTATGTGTTATCTTCTTTATCATAGTGGTTTGGACATTATAAGAGGCTTACAAATTATATATGCATGTGCATGTGTGCACATATGAGCATATAACAATGAATGTATGTATATGTTCCAGAGGGAGTAATTTAGGTGTATTATCGGTTATTAAGATTAACATAGTAACCATTAGCACAAGCCACCTTATAATATAAATATAAATAATGATATTTTATAGGACCAAGTCAAAACTTTCTAATTTATAACCAGTTCAGGCAAGGGGGCAATAACTATTACTAGATGAAATCAAGTATAAGAGGTCTTTCCCACTGTCACTTAATAGAAATCAATAGAGCAGAGTTATCCTTAATTGGATGAATGCCTTTTTTCCTTCCTTCTCTCTAATTCTGATTACAGAATACATGTTGCCAGCAGGTACATCCCGAGATTAACTGTAAATTTTAAAAAAAAAGAGTTTTTGGCCTAGTAGTACCACATTTAAGTGCTACCTGGAAATGCAAAATCAAAGGCATAAAACCTTCCTCAAAGCCTCAGTTGCATTTCCTCTTCCTAGGGAGGAGGTCTGTTGTCAGTGAGACAATGGTCTTATCCTTTGTCTGTGAGTATGGGTTAACTAAAATGTCCACCTCCATCCAAGGTGTTTTCGAGGTTTTGTCAATTGCCCACTTATCTTAGTTACTTTTTTCACTGCTGAGAAAAAATACTCAACACCCACAAGTTAAAGAAGGAAAGTATATTTTGTCTGATAACTTGCAGTCGTTTCAGTCCACAGTAAAGGGCAGCATGGTAGAGGGGCATGTAGGTGGCAGCAACAGCAGCAGTAAGCAGCCAGTTTGCCTTTCCTTTTTTTATTTCACCCAGGCTCCAGTCCTTTGGGTGGTGCCATCCAAAATTATGCTAATTCCAAACAGTGGACCACACAGCTCTGATTCCAGTATCACACGTCCTAGATGTAACCAGCTCTGAAAACCCTAGATATGAGTACATGGGGTTTTGGGGATCACCTATATACAAAACATAACAGCCACTATGACAAGAAATAACAAGGATCATTTGATTTTGTTTAACATTTTTGAATAATTATAATTTGTTGTACTTTTAAAGAGAAAAAACAAAAAATATTGATACAAATTTTCAAAACAAGAGAGTAAGAGTAACAATGGTTAATACATTATGTATTATCTTCAACGTAGTTGCTCATATTATAAGATATAAGCCTGAAAAATTGTTTAATCAGTAACAAAAACCTTGCTCTTTAATGAATAGAAATTAGTCGTATAAAGTAACTATCACAAATATTTGTATATACATATATATTTTCCTTTTCCCTCCCATCTTTTCTCTTTTCCTTTGTACCAGCTTCTCTTTCTTTTTGAGTGGTTTCTTTCCATTTCACAATATCTATTCTACATTTTGGCTCTTATTTACTCTTTCAGCTTCTTCCAGAGACAATGTGATGTTAACACATGTGAGACTAATTTACTTCACTTCTGAGTGTGATCTCAAGTTGCATCCATTTACTTTATAATTCTCAAGTTTATCCTTTTTATACCTCAGTAGTACTCCATTGTATAAGAATACACATTTTTGTCCATTGCTTGGTTGATGCGTATTTGCGGTGTTTCCAAGATTTGCCTATTACAAATTGTGCTGCTATGTACAAGGGTGTGTATACATCACTATGGTATGTTGTTTTTAATTCTTCTGGGAAAATATTCAGGAGGAAATACCTGAGTTAATAGGACATCTAGTCCTAGTTTTACAAGATATCCTTATACTGATTTCCACAATGGTTTTACATGCGAGTCTATATTCCCTCCAACTGTGGACAAGATTCTTTTTCACCACAGCTCCTCCAGCACTGTAATTGGTGATTTGTGGATGACAGTCATTTTTTCTGAGGTGAGATGGAATCTCAGTGGTATTTCAATTTGCATCTCTCAAATGACAAGTGATATTGACTTTTTTTCATTTATTTCTTTGTCATTATTAGTTCTTCTTTTGAGAAGTGTTATTTCAAACGTTCAATTTTCAATTGGGTCTTTGATTTGAGGGGTCTGACTT